ACTTAACAATGCGATCTTTTTGGACTTGTTAGATCAGTGGTAAATTTAGATATCAATTCACAACGCTATGATTTCTTAGATTTCACTACATAAACTAGAAAAGTCAAGTATCTCTGTCAGAAGTATAACAACTTGGATGTGAGCATACAATAGCCTTAACATGCATAACTAAACCTATATGGAATTGGTCTGTCAATTACCCTCAATAAATTGTGCACCTTTTGAGTACTTAGTTAAGAATTTGGTCATCCACCTTGTACCTTACTCGATTTAACTGCTTCTAAATCAATATAACTTAGCCTAGCCCCCATATGGTATCAACTAAGGACATAAAGGAGATTCAACACTCTACTTCAAGAGACAATTATACTTAAGAAGGGTTTTTCAACAACTAGACTCTTAGAGCACTACAATACATATTCATACAACAAGATATTTTAGCTTTTAAAACAATATTTCTCCTTTAGTTCTAAGTTAACATGTACAACACTACACAACTCCATGCATAATGCATCTTATCAACATAATTAAACATTATAGCATGCCTTATGCATATCACAACACTATACTACACATCAACGTACTTCTCATACATTTACAACACAACATACAACTTATGTACATTCAACACATTCATGTTCGACGTGATCAGCTCATGCCTAGCGCTCACGCCTGATGCCACTCACTCAGTGCCTGATGCTAAAAAATTTATGTCCAGTGTCATCCAGACAAAGATCATTTGCCTAACCCATGTTTGATGTTACATAACCTATACTCGATGTTGTCAATACAGAGAGCTACTAACTTGATCACACACGATGTCACCTAACTTTTGCTCAACATTATCAAGTCAGAGAGCTCTTGAAGCAATCACGCCCAATACACCTCAATCCACGTTCGACATAACCAAGTCAAAGCTCCCAACTAATCCACATTCGACACTACTTATAACGTGTTCGACATTAATGAGATAGAGAACTTTTGATATACATTGTACTCGATGCGAAGACAATTTTCGCAATTAGTAGAATCACGAATTGGGCTCAACTACATGTAATCCCACTTCCAAACCAACATGCAACAAGTAATCCAACACATGTATAACCTATACAACTCAGTTTCATCAAGGAATACAACATGCAATCAATATATGAACCAAAATCATCAATTCTTCTCCAAAACCCCAAGTAATAAGATACCTTTATTCTCAAACCCACAACACAACCACAAAAATATGTAATTCAAGCTAAAATCAACATATATAATATAATAGTAATCAATCTACAAGTTTCCTTTACCTCAAATTTTAACACTCTGGTTTAGTAAGTAAGTGACAGCTAGTGGGGCACTCTCTACCTCAACTATACTAGATGCAAGTGATGTGACACTGAACGTGGGCGAGATACAAAACTCTCTATCTCGATGGCATCAGGTGTCATTTAAGCAGCGTCAGGTGCAACATGCATGTGGTATGCTTGTTGTTTTATGATTAACTATTGATGAATATTGATGACCATGATGTATGTATGTTGATATCTAATGATGAATATCTATGTTGTAAGTTGATAGATGAATTGATGATGTTAAAATGTAAGTTGTATAGTTGTCAACTTGTGAAGCTATGGACATGTTAATTAAGATACATAGATGCTAGAGGTGAATTGTGTTATTTTTAAAGTTGGTTTTTCCTCCGGGGTTTATGTATTGTTATGAAGGTAGTTAAATCATATCCAAGTTGAATGACTAACCAAGTAAAGTACGAAGTTAGGAACATGGTCTCTAGCTTAATTAGTATTAGAGGGTTATGATATTTGAAGGATAGTTAGTGGGTTAATCTCATAGGTGACTTAGTATTGCAAGCTAATGTCATGGTAGACTCATACCCAAACTATCATTCCTTAACATAGTATTATACTTCCTAGTTTAAGTGACAAAACCTGAAAAATCAAATTAAGTTGTCTATACCTGACTTTCTTTTAGACCTAACACTATATTATATCTGATCTGACTAAGATAGGTCTAACGTTGTGGTTTAATAGGGTTTAATTAGTTACTTAAATTGTTCACCTCAATTATAGGAGATCTCTTTGGTTGATATGCATGATCACACACACACATCTCCTTCGTTGATATGCATGATCACACGGAAATTGCACAGGAAGAAAGTTGTAGCTTGCGCAAAGCACTTTATTGGTGATGGTGGAACCACAAAGGGAATCGATGAGAACAACACAGTGATAAGCAGACATGGATTGCTAAGCATTCACATGCCAGCCTACTATAACTCAATCATCAAGGGTGTTGCATCGGTCATGGTCTCTTATTCAAGCTGGAATGGAGAAAAGATGCATGCTAATCATAATCTGGTCACTGACTTTCTCAAGAACACACTACGCTTCAGGGTAACAACACTGAACTCATCAGGGCACCATTGAATTCAAAATTATGAACGAGTCCTGAAATCCTTTGGTTTCTTGCAGGGTTTTGTCATATCAGAT